AAATTCAAATCCCGGGCTTCATTAGCAAGTGCGGTATGCATACATTACCCCGCTAGTTCGAACTAGCGGGGGAGGGTAGACATACCCAGAGAGAGGCGGGGGTGGGGGGGAAGCTATCTTAAAAGCTGATTCCCCTCAGCACTGTCTCTGTGGGGAGAAAGGGCAGAGGCACAGTGGGGAGGAATTGGCAGTGCTTCTGCCTTTGAAATGTAGCAAAAGCAGTTCTGATCCATAAGAGCCAGAATTATACCACATAGCAAAGATCTGGCAATACAATATAACATGTAATAATTAGTTAAACAGGTTTTAAAAAAATCATTAAGCTCAGAATTTTAGATATCTGCAACACTCCAAAAAATACTAACAGAATTTTTCTTTCTTACCTTAAGCTATTAACACCTATGTAAACTTTGTTTGAAATGTAATCATACAAATGTCCTGGCATACACCCACCCCAAGCAGCCTGCTCCCCACCCCAACCCAGTCAGACAGAGAGGACTTCAGCAAGTGAGTCAGGGACATTCCAAACAAACTCCACCCCACCTCCATCTCACTGCACTGATGCACCCACCCATCCCCTTTTCCCCTAGACCATGCAGTCAGCCCCTTATCTCCCCCTTTTGAGGAACTTGAGAGTGCTGAGTTTCTGCCTCTCTTTCTCTTTGTGCAGATGAGACTCTCCAAACTCCCCTCTTCTCTGTTCCCCCTCAGCCAATTAATTAATTACTCAGTCCCTTCCTCCTCTTCCCCTCCCCCCTTTGTTCCCTTATCTCGCTTTTTACCTGCTCTGGGAGCTACTCAGTTTCAAGCAGGCTCTGTTTAGCTGCTTGCTCAGCAGGACAGCACCCCGCATCCCACCAGTCAGCTGAATTCCCTGCATGCTTTAAACTTCTGAGCAGAGCTCCGAAAACAGCTGTGCAGTTTCACAGCTTACAGGGAACTTAGGCCAAGGCTCATCTAGGCTACAACCAGCCAGCTAACCATTTCAACTGTGCTGCGCTCTCTCAGTTGAACCAATGTGATTAAAAAACACATCTGTCTTGCCCCTCAAGATGTACCCTTAAGGCAGCCATGTCTCTGACAGCATTGTAAAACCACAGAAGTTGTGGTGTGGAGATGTAAAGCCTTGGAAGTAGATGTACAGGTTAAATGACTTAAACTATATTGAAATAACCTTTAATGAATCCATTTCCATATTTTTCTCAGATCCAGGATATCCCATCTTTGTTATGTGAAGTCAATACCAAAGCCAGGCTTACATGTCTAGCAGTATGGCTAGACAGACCTTCAGAAACTAAAGAGAACCCTGACAAAGCTTCAACCTCTTCTAATGGTAACAAAGGTCGAACCAGATTATTTTATGTTGAAAATAATTCCTATTTAAGTGCTGTTAGGATGGTGATAAAATAGAAAATCTGAGATTAGGTGGGAGTTTTTATTGTTTGTTTTGTGGCTGAATGCGGTGCCCCCAAAGGTGATGGATGTGATAGCAAGTCATTATTTAGCGCTTCACGCTGATAGATGGTGCACATTTTTTGGACTAGTGCTGTCTCAGTCTGGAGCAGTAATGCCATGGCTACTGAAGACACAGTAAATAAGGAGCCATATAATGACATTTTGCAGTATCCCTTTTCAAGTGGAACTACACTTGAAGGCTTATGTTTTCCCAACTAAAATATAAAATGTTCTATAATACACATGACCCAACTTATTGACTAAATTATTGAAAAATGCCAATCTGACACTTTGGCTATTCATCCAGACCTCTCATGGGTTCTGCCACTGCCTGCTCTGAAACTTCTGTAGTGCCTCGGTAGTGCAGTTTTGGTTCGGAGCCCTGATGCTAGCAGTATACTAACAACAAAATGGGGTCATCCTGGCTTCTGCCAGCCCAGTTCCTCCTTTCAGGGTGATCCAACAGCCTTTCCAGTCCTGAATCTCCCCCAGACTGTCTCCCTTGAAGTTTCCAGTTCCTCTTCCTGGACCCTCACAGGGGTAGCACCAAGTTTGCTGCTTTGAAAAAACTAGTACACAAATCAGCTTTTCAGCTAAGCTGGGGTGATCACGCTTTACCATACTATCCAGCACTGAGTTGTTTGTAATAAAATAAAGAATAAGTTTACTAACAAAGAACACAGATTTAAGTGATATCAAGCAAAAATGAAAGAGTTACAAAAGAGGTACAAACACAAAGAACATGCTGTCTAGTGTTTCCAGTGTAATTCTAGTAAGATGTAGCTTTTGCCTAACAGTTTTTTATATCATACTAGAAGATTTACCTGATGTTGCTCAAGTCTTTCAGGGCAGTGGGCTGCGAGTGTGGGAGTGCAGGACTCAGGGCAGGAGCTTGGGCATGGGGAGGTTCAGGGCTGGGGGTGTGTGGGGTGCAGGAGTCAGGCCAGGATGTGGGGGGTACAGGAGTCTGGGAAGGAGTATGGCAGAAAGGGATCTGCTCAAGGCCAGGAAGCTGGGAAATTGGTGGGGGGGCTTACTGAGGCCACCTGTGGCAGCGAGGGTGGCACTGCCTTGATGGCTCTCCCACCCAGGGTGGGGGGAGGGGGATAGGGCTGGGCTGCCTGGCCCCATTGGCAGCTCCTCCTTGGGGGTGCTGGGCTGACCTTCACCCCTGTCGTCACTCTGCAGTATAACTGTCCCTCACACTTGCTGCCCCCAGTGGTCTTTGCGGAGCATAACTGTCCCTGATCTCAGACTCCTCCCTTTCCGTGTTATGGAAAACAATCGAATTCCAGGCACATCCCATTTTTCTGGCACAACCAAACCCTGAGCTTGCTTTAAGTTAGGATAAGAGGAAGCTGCCTACCAAATTTGGTAGTTGTAGCTCTTACCATTGAAGAGGAGTTCTTGAACAAATGGACTCCTGGACGAACAGACTCAGACACACAAATTCTCTAAAATATGTAGATTGTCAGCATTCTCCAGCCTGTTGTAATGGGAGAACCCATCCTTCATAGAAACAAAGTGCTGGCTTCCTTGTTGTCTCTGGTGATGACTATCCCAGAGTCTCACAACAGCTCCTTATATTCCCCAAAGTGTATTGTGTCTTCAAAGACGACAAGCTGACCTGGGGACTTAGCATTCTGTCTGCACCAGGGACCAGATGCAATGTTAATTTTGCAGCCTCCAGAGATTTAGTGCCAATGATCTTCTTGCAATCTCTGACAGAAATGGATGGCTTATTATCCTTGTCTCCTGTCACATTTGGTTCATCTGCAACTAAGCCAAAGAGATGTTGGCTTTTATTGGTTTTCCAGTGATACCTTACAAGACACCTTTTAAATGAATATTATGACAAGTGTGTGAGGTGGCCCCTGGTCAGCCGGTGTTGGGGTGCCCTGATGATTATAGCTAGTGTGACCAAAACCTTAATTCTCTGCAGTCTTCTCTAAACATCTTTAAGAATTAGTGTGGTTACATTTATAAAAGTAAAATATTCAGGCTTTTAGGATAAAGAATCTTTTAGGCTCTCACTATGCTGTGCATGGTTCCTTAAACTTGTTGGGTCAGATTTTCAAAATTAAGTTATGCAGTTTTGTGTACCAAGCAGGTCATTTTCATGTCAAGCATATATGCATAAAGTACATATGACTGGTGCATGTATCCAATTGCATGAGTCTACCTTAGAAAATCTAGCAAATGGGGGGAAATACATTTTTACTTCATGCCAGTAGAGAGAAAAAATATTGAACTTAAAAACTCATGATGAATAACTTTCTGCTTTGTTTCAGTAAATGAAGATGAACAGCCATTGATAACTAGGAAAAAAAAAGTTTGTTGGACTGATGATAGCAATAAATCTACAGAGAGAGAGAAACCAGGGTTGCCCAAGAAACAAAAATTAGAAGGTGCACAGCAAAAGAAGAAAAAGAAACTACAGAGCTTAAAATGAATGTATCTTCTTTACCACTCAAATAATAAGCTGATATTAATCCATTTCAATATCACTGTAGCCACTTTTTACACCTCTTTCTTCTCCTCAAGCCATTTTTTGCCTTCTCAACAGGGCATGCATCTCTTAAATGATCTAATTTTAGGAGTAGAAAATTTTTGTACATTCATAAATGACTTCAGAATTTTCTAGAGGTGGCAAATCTGATGGTACTATCTTCCCTTGAAATATACCAGTCAGCGGTTAACACATTATATACCTAATTAATATTTTAATGATATCAAGTATGGTATAAAAATATCCTTGAATAGTTCTGAAATTCATTTTAAAACTACAGAAACTGCTGTAGTTGTGTTGTTCTACTCAAATTTTCTGATTTTAGACATAAACTTGAAAATAGATTTCAGTAAGGCATACAGTGAAAGTGTCTGCAATTAACCATTTTCACAATGTTAAATTGTTTGCAATAGGAGTTTTAGCTCATAAAGATTTTCCATGGTATTTAGACACTTGCATCTAGATCTTAATTTTGGAGAGAGACTGTTTTTTATATAATGCAGGGGAAAATACTAGGCTGGATTTTTTTTTTTAACTAAAAAATGTGCCTGCCTTTCTCACTTTCCTAAAAATAATCCTTAAAATCTTAATGAATACTCCCTGATGTCAGAAAAATAAAACTAGCAAAAATATCCTTCGTACATTCACAAAAGAAAACTGATGTTTAACCCCTGAAACAGCAATGAATAGAGGATGTAAAAGCAAATTGTATATTTTTTGCCTTCTATTATTTCAGGTCTTCCATTTTAAAAAGGCAAGTGTGTCCATTAAGTCAACTCTGTTTATTCTTTTTCCAGGAATTGATTTACTTGATTGAAACACACTTCAGTATTTGCATTTACTCTTGAGATATTGAAACACCCGTATTGTAAAAAGCAGGCTAGAACAACTTTAAGTTGTTCTGTATGTTTTAATCTTTATGTTCAAAGAAATCTAATATTAATTAGCTATATTGAAAAGATATAGTAATTTTTTCCCTTCTCTAAAACGTTCATGAAGTCTATGCTCTGAGATTTATTGTGTAAAACAGAGAAAAGGTAGTATTTATTATGTACAGGTTGATACTCCAAAACCCAGTACTCCGGTCTGACAACATCCATTGTCTGGCAGGACCACGGATACTCCTGGATCAGAGAGCCCAGGAGCCTAAGGGCAGGAGGGTCAGCTGGCTGGGGCAACAGGGTCAGCAGCCCAGCTGGGAGCAGCACAAGACCGGGGCCAGAACCCCGCGACAGCCTCTAGCAGTCTGTGGCAACGTGAAATCATGAAGGGAATCCCCTCGCAGCACAGACTGGTGCTGCTGCGGGAATCCGGCGCAGCAGCCCCAGAGCCCTGTGGCAGCCGTTGGAGCTTGGGGCTGAGATCAAAGCCCCATGGCAGTGTGGGCACAGAGTCCTCTGGAAGCTTCTTGGAACACGGGGTTGGGGCCAGACCCCTGCAATTGTTTCCCTGAGCACAAGGGTGGGGCACCATGACAGCCCCTGGGAGAGTGTTTGGAGTCAAAGCCCAGTGGCAGCACAGAGTAGGATCCCTGGAGCAGCCCATTGGAACGCAGGGCTGGGAGCCAGTGGCAGGAGACCTTCCCATGTCCAACAAATTCTCTTGATGGTGCCAGACCAAGGAGGTCCAACCTGTACTTAAAGCTGTATCCCTGATGAACCACTACCATTTTAAACTTGATGTATATTGATTTAGCTTAGTTTCTGAGGGTCAGTTTAAAGTCACACCTTTATTTAAACTTGAGCAACTCAGAATATACATTAAAGGATTAACATAATTGTATAGAAACTTCTGGTTTTATACAGAGCTTTTACCTATATGAAATAAGTCTGATCCATTTGAGGGTTCAGTGTGAGCTATATCCAATCAAACTTAACTGATTGCTTGGCCATTTTTTGTGGCAGATATTTAGAGTTTTGTGTGGTTCTTTTGGAACTAAACTATTTTCAGACTTATATGTTTGGCTATTTAATGTGTTTATGGGCTGAGGTGGGATGCCTCTGACGTGTAAATGAGTAGATAATTTGAATTTTTAAATGTGTAGGACATAGGGTGAATTTTCACAGACATAGCAGTATATGGAAATATGCAGATTAATCTCTGCCCAAAAAAATCAAGCACATGCATTTTTAAGAATGTGGATCAAAATTTAAGACTTTCTTGGCTAAGACCCCACTCCTGCTAAGCCTTTTGCTCTTTGTTTCTGCACATCAGTAGACATAGTGACCTCAGGGGAATTGCTCATATGTAAATCTTTGCAGGATCTAGGCCTAAAGAACAAAATGGCATTAGCCTCCTTCCACAAATGTTTCACAGCCAATTATCTGGCCTCAGCTGCAAGTGCACACATGCTGATTACAGTCTATTTCTGATTCTAATATTAGTGAAAAGGTTCTGTGCTGTAGTGTACAGTGTTGGTTTGGGACTGCTCACTTCTGTGCTTTGAAACCTGAAATGTGGTGTGCACTCTGAATTCTTATTCAACCTCGCTCAGGGTCTTTGAATCCTGTAGTATCATTTAATTGAAGTGAAATTGGGTAAGCACTTGTTCAGATGTTTGTGTTTAAATCTTAGTTGTTTGTAAGCAACAAGTTTTTATATTTGTATGACTTTGGGGATATATTTTTATCTCACAGTATAGTATACAAGGTGTTGGTAGGAAATGTTAGTGCAAAATACTTCTATAGTAAGTATGAAATAGTGTCAAAATGGACATAGATTGTGAAGAAAGTATGTGGAAGAAACTTACTTTTGTTACAGTCGTGAATGTGTGTGAGGAGGGCCAAAGGGATCTTCTATAACTTGGCTTTCAGCCAGTTGCTAGACAGAAGAAACATACTGGGGAAAATACCGATAAATAACATTTGCAATGTGTACATATTATACTTGGATAAGGACTGAGGTGTAATAGAATAATACTGTTTACTAGATATGAGCCCAATAATCAAGTTATTGACTGGATCTGAATTTATTAAGAATTTGTGGGAGAGGTTTGGATCTGGGGTTTCTGCTTAGGTTTATCTCTAGTTTTTACCTCTCAATTGTAGAGGAGTATATAAGCTACTCCTCGGAGAATTATGTGCTACTCTGCATGCACATAATTAATATGCCATGCATATTTTAAACTTTTTGTGCAGAAAAAAAGCCGCTGGAATGTTGGCTCTGCCTTTTTCCCACTAGAGGGCACTGTGGCATTAGAAACAGCAGCTTTCCACTGAAAAAAAACTTTACAGTTCCACCTTTTGCCCACCAGAGGGTGCTGTGGTGAAAACACAGCAACTGCTCCTAGCCAGATAGGAAAAGGTCTGCCTT